TTATTAGTATTTATTAGTAAATTACTGGTTTATTTAAGACATTATTATATTTATTCATTTTATTCCATTGTTTTATTAATCAAGTATTTAAACAATTATTTAATATGAAATTTTATACGATTAAATTATAAATATTAAATTATTTTGAAAATTGACTAAACCAAACCCACCATAAGAAGAATTCAATTAAGTTTTTCTTCATTTTATCTTATAAAATGAAGTAATATAATAATTATCTATTATGGGATTTCAATTTAATTATTAAATTGTTCTAATCGAGTTATAATATGTTTCTATAATTATCGTGAATCAATTAAAAGTTATGCAACGAAGAAAAAAAAAATATTCGTAATTATAACATAAGAAGATTGATTGATTGCATATCGAGAAAAATGATGTTAAGAGTATTTAATTAAATGTTGGTTTTTATTCTTTCTTTTTTATTTGATGTGAAGCAAAGTTATATCATTTCAATTTATAAAATGACTGCGATGCAAGAAGAATCAACTGATTAATGACAATAACTTAAATTCAAAGTCATAATTAAAAAATACAAAAAACCTGTAATTTTTCCAAATTTAAACATATTTGAACGTTGTGTTGGTGTTGTCAGTGTGACGACACCAAGAAAAGACAATTACGTTTTGTATTAATTATTTTTCTTTTTATTATGTACAATAAAAACAAAGAAATGTAATATCGACTTGGTTATGTCAAAAACAAGTTAACGGTAAAAAAGTCATTATTTTGATTGAATGGTTTCAACGTTATTTAATTTTTCGCTTTATAAATTATATTCTCGTTCACTTTCTTTTTTAAGTTTACAAAAGTGACTGTATTAAAACGCCAAGAGCAGCGATTGACACACTTTTATTATTAAAACCAAAAGAAAAAAAAGGCAGCCCTTCGGGGAGTTACTATTATTGTTTTGATTGAATGATTTAGTAAGTTTTTTCATCTTTTTTTTATAAACATATATAAAAAATAATTAATAATAATAAAAAATGAAATAATGTAGACGTGAATAAAAATTATAGACACAAAAAGTAATTTTTCGTTGATTACATTACATGTGAACTAAGCAATAATTATGAGCAATAATGTAAGATAGTCAAATCTTTAAAAATTGTATAAAACACTTTTATCACAATAATGATACATATCATTAAAAACTGATTGATAAAAATAACATATGGTTCAATTGTAAAAATAAAAGTCTCGTCACCATTTTTTAAATTATGGTGAAAAGGATTGCATAATTTAAAAATATAGTGATGCATTTAGTTCTAAGTAAGTCACACAAGAAAAATACAGTTATATATTACATTAGATGTTATCTTAATATTTTATTGTATTTGTTATTTGAATAATAAAAAAATGACAAAATTATAAAATTCAATATATTTTTAATGATGTTGTTGTGTTTGAAATAACATAATTTTATAGTGCGAGTAACTTATATATATAAAACAAATCAAGCACTCTGTTTGATGTATCTGTGATTGTTATAGCAAATGTAAAACTTTGTGTTTTAAGTGTCTTGATTATTAATTTGATAATTTAATAGTTAAATTGTGGTTAATTTCATAGACTAATTGACTTGAAAATGTTAAAATAATTACAAATAATTGCAATTCAAAAGTTTGCTGTTTAACAGTAAATTTTTATCTATGGTCAATATAAGTAGCCAACTAACATGTCAAATGAATGTTCTTATCAATATTGGCAGTGCTTGTTTTGTTATTTAACAAAGAAAATGAGATTATTTTAATTTTTAATATTCAAGTAAAAAACTTGTTGTGTCTGTTAATAAAATAAATAATAAGTTATAGTTGTTTTCAATTATAGTATCTTAATTGTATTTTATTATTTATTGTTATTATTTGTTTGATTAACTTTGTATAGATTATGTTTACTATACTTTGTGTTTGCACCCATATTGTTTTTTAAGCGATTTACTCGTGACCAAAAAACGAAAATAAGTATAAAACACAAATAAAAAATAAACATTTTGTATTTTGTTTAGCCTTTAAACAACACATTTTTTAAAAAATAGAAAGTCTTTTATTTATTTATCAATGTTTTTCATAACCCGATTATTTGCTCAGTTATCAACAAAATTATTATTTCATAAAAATAATGGTATTTTTTTCAATTAAATTGCCACAAATTTTGTTTTTTTCTTGTTAATTTTGAAAACCAGAATTGTGCCGACCCATGAATGACATTACAATTACTTTTCTAATATGATAATGATAATAATCCTTAAATCAGAGTGTCCAAAAAAATGCACTTAAGTCCCAAGTTAAGGATTTTGGAGTAAAAATGACAAAAAAATTGGATTTTCGATCGATTTGATCAAAAAATAATTGATTTTTGAAAGAGACAAAAATAACCATAATTTATCCCGATAATTTACAACAAAATCCATAACATCTCGTTTGTATATTTTTCCCGAAATATTAAATTAAAAACAAACAAATTTAGAATAAAAAAATAAAAATAGTTTAAATGTTAAGCAAATTACTTAATCTACAAAACGTTTATGTACACAAGCTAAAACAATAACAAAAGACTTACCATATTACTTGAAATTTTTAAACATTCAAATATAAAAAAATAATTTATATGAGAAATTTTGAATAAAAATGATAAGAAAAATAAGAATTTCAAGATATAAATGAGAATTAAATCTTTTAATTGTTTGTTCTTGTCGTTTAATTATAATTAATAAAAATATTCAAGATCTAAAAAATCAATGGAAAAATCACCGAACAAACGCGACCCAACTTTAAAAAGAGGAAAAAAAAATATATTGAATTGTGTTAAGAAGTACTCTACAATACCATTATATGAAATCAAAAAAAAACTTATTACTTTTGTCCATTTTGTTTAAGATGTTTTATTTACAAGACCAACTTAAAACACAAGATGTATTGTTCTAAATATACAGAACCGAAGAACCAATTATTTTTTAATGATTTTCAAACACATACACAAAACTACATTGAAAAGGCAAAACTCTATTTTGAAAAAATACATCAACGAAACCTATCACACCCGTTCAAAACTTCAAATTCCGTCAACTTTGAAAATAATAAAACAACAATCGGACTTAATAAATGCAAATAATTGTTTTGAAAGTGAACAAGAACATAAAAACCAAGTGATTTCATTTCCGAAGAATGAACTTGTGTCTGATTTCTATAAACTAATTGGTTGTGACAAAACTTCAAAAATGTTATTTCAGAGCTAAAATCTCAATTGAGGTCAACTTCACATTCAAAAAGAGAAGAAAAAAACGCAACGTGTATTTAAGTAAATTTTTTTCTGTTTCCACCACAGAAATTGAAAATAAAACATCAATGTCGAAACAACAAATCAAAGCAGTTGAAACCATAGTTGGCAATTTTGCAAATTTATTTATGGATGAAAGTGTGTATAACAATTTAATGAAAAATATACACATTTCGTACAACAACACAATAAATATAATAAATTCATTAAGCAATGAAAACATGGTTGAAACAGAAAGATATTTTATGAACTGTGTGTGCTTTTCTTTGGCGTTTGACGGCACTAAAGAGAAAGGTAAAAAGTTCTGAGACTTATAGGAAGGTTTGCTTTTGAAGACCTCTCTGTTGCTCAAGTCACTCTTGTTATTGGAGAAATACACAAGAAGACCAATTCAGAAAATTTAAAAGAATGGGTATAACATCACTTAGAAACATTCAAAGCTCCAATAAAGAAATTGGTATTTTCCACACAAGATGGGGCCAGTGTTATGAGTAGTCTTGAAATGGGTATGGAGTTAAAATTGGAGAAGTCAAAAACAGAATGATTAAAATGGAAAATGAATTACAATTACAAAATAACTTGCATAATACAAAAGATTTTGATTTAATAGAAAATGTTTATATGTCTTTTTATTGTACGTGTCATAGATTGAATGTTGCCGAAGGTTATTTGTGGAAAACTCATGATGGTCAAATTGTACTCAAGTTTTTAAATTGTATATGTTCTGATAGTATTATTACAGAATGGAATAATTTTGAAAGTGAAAAAGGAGTGAAGTTTTGTAAAATACCCACTTTGTCAAATACAAGGTGGTTTTTCTATGAAAATTTGGTCAAATTTGTTTTATAAAATGTTTTAGAATTGGACAATTTTATTACTATAACAGGTTATGATTTAACAATTACTAATTGTCTTATTGAAAAACATAATGAAATAGTAAACCAAAAAAAACAATTTATATTATTTATTCATGGGAAAGAGAAAAGATTTGTTTGACTTAAAAGACCCGTTGTTTCTGTCGTTTCTGGGTTTATATTTAGACATTTTGAAACAAACGAAAATCGTTTGTGATACAATGCAAGAAAAATTTGGCATGATTTATGATGAAATTGATATGATAAATTTATTGATATTTGACATGGAAAAAAGGGAATATGATATTTCAATGGGTATATTTGATGATTTTCCAAATGTATTAAAATATTTATACTTTGATTCAAATGATTTAGTATGTGGTTGTGGAGCGGTGATTAGTGGATTTTTGGATGCACTTAAATTACGTTTTTGTAATATCACGACTGCAAAAACTGGTGCAAAAATAGAGAATTTAAATGAAGTCAGATTACTTTTAGATGAAAAACAAAATTTACAACCTTTCATTGATTGTTTTACTTTCCCTGAAAGGTATTTAAAAAACAAACAAATTAAAGTTGAAAGTGGATTTTTTGAAATTAACTCAGAACTTGAAAAAATTAAATTAATGATCGAACAAAATGGAAATAAAATAAATGAATTATTAAAGGAAAATTCTATTGAAACGTTTAATTTACTTGATGCGCTTGACTTATTTGGAACAGCAACATTTCCTTATTTGACTCAACTTGTACAAGTTTTAATATGTCTTATTCCAACCTCTTCATGTGTTGAATCACTTTTTTCTTATTATAGGTATTCATCAAAAATTAATATGAAAACAACAACTGTAAATAAAAGACTCAAATTGAAATATGCAACATCTACTGTGATAAAAATCAATACGCGCAAAAAGAAAAGTGAATAAGTTTTTGGTTGTGTTTACATCAATAAAAAACAATGATTTGTGTGTTTATTAACGCAAAAATGTGTTGATGCGCATGAATAATGTATCTTGGGTAATAAATTTTTACTCTTAATTGGTTTAATTTTTATCAGACAAATATATACATGTATTTGAATAACCAACAAATATCAATTATTTTTTTGTTTATTAAGTTGTATTATCAAAAAATAAAATTTTAAACCAATTGATAGTTTTTGTGGTGATTGTAGTTTTTATAATCTATTTTTATTTTTTTAATCAGTTCGTTTATCAAAACAATCAATTTGTTTTTTTTGACCTTTCCTTAACTTGGGACTTAGACGTTTTTTGGACACTCTGACTTTAATTGAAACAGATTATCAAATTAAAATTGTTGTCTTTTTTTTATTTCATTAAAAACAACAACATAATCAACACAACTAATAAACTCGACATTTTTGTCAATTATTGTTTGATAAGTAAAAAGCAATTCCAATGATCAAGTATTCCTTTTTGATTTAAAAAATGAATAAAAACACTCAAATTTGTATGATTTTATTCATTTTTTAAATCAAAAAGGAATATTGACCATAAAAACAAACATAATCGATTTATAAAAAAAATTCCAAATCTTCTTCAGATATTTTAAAATTTCTTGTTTTTTGCAAAAAGTTCTTCTGAAATTTATTGTTGTTTGCTTAAAAATTCAATGTTTAAAATAATTCAATATGGTGAATATAGTTTATATAATTCTACATTTCAAATGTTCAACATTTTATTTATTTACTTTTATCATTATAATATGGTATTAAGAAAAGTCTTTCAACTTTTATTACAAACGACAAAGAAAGTAAAACAGAAAAAAACTGACAAGAATAACTCATTATGTCAATTAAAGTTCAAAGATTTGTATTTGTTTGTGGTTTTTAAGATGAAAAAAATCAAATTTGTTCTTTCCTGTCGTTGTAAAATATTCAAACATGTGTATTCAAATAAAAATAATAAAGATCTGTTCTTTATTCATTTTAAGTATGAACAACTACTCTAGGAATTCATCTTTACCAAAAAAATCAAATGTTTTCAAATGTTTTCGTGATTCACAAGCAGCCGAACAAGCCGTCTTCATTGCTCTTCTTTCTCGACACTATTCAATTGAAATTAAACACCCCATCAAACGATCAACTGTGACAAATCAAGTCTTGAATGTATCATTAATCCACTTTGAACACGAAATCTTTAATGTTTCCGAATTTGTCGACGTCCGTTGTTCGTTGCTCAAAACAATTGATCTGGCGACTGGGTTCTCAGAGAAGTCCGCGCAACAACGGTTATCCAAAAATCGTATTGTCGAACAGCAACATTTTTTGATTGATATTTTGAGGGAACTCGGGTACTTTTGTTCTGGGTATATTTGTCAAGGAAAATTGATGACACGACCAGTTGAAATAGTTACAACTGTAGCTCGGGATAATGATATACTTTTACAATCAAAAGAAATTATTGAAAATGGAACTAAAATAGCAAAATTCATTGACCAAAAATTGAGTACAAACGAGGTCTTGTATATCGAAAAGGGCAGTTTCGAAATGAAGTGTCTTTTATCTTTGTAATAATATTTTGTATTTGTTTATCTTTGTTTATTAATGAAAATTTTGTTGTATTTTAGTTATTTTGTATATATTTATATGAATGTTAAAATTGTTTTTAATTGCGTATAGCGATTAACTGTATATAATTAAAAAATAAAAGTTACTTAGATCAGTTCTCAAGTTTCAATGTAATGACGTTTAAATATCATTATAACATTTATTTGTGTTATTTTTAAAATTTGTTATTAAGAAAGCAAAATTAAGCTTCTTATGTTTTGACTTGTTAAAAATTATGAAAATAATTTCGATTCGATGTTTTTCATGTGCTATGATGATACAATAAAGATCCAAACACTTGCTCGTGAAAGTGTTTGGCAATGGTTTACCCTCTCGTAACACACAAAAATGGTTTAGTGTGGTCTCCATGAGTGTAAAAAAGCTTTTTCGAAAGTATGACTCACCTCTACAAACACTGATACAAAAATGACAGTCAAGTGTAAAAAAGGTGCGTTTCGAGAAAACCAGTCGCTGGCACATTGTCAAAGTCCACCACACTAGACTAAATGTGAGGGTTAGTTAAATCTATAGGAAAAACACCACAAAAACAGGTGTTGTTTTCTGAAAAAAACTAGGAAAAGAAGAAATTATGTTTCTTTTCGAAAAGAAAGTTTTTAAGTTTTGATGAATTCGTGAAATTGTTAACTATATAACCTATTGTTGTCTGAACCAAAGAATGTTCATATTTTTTTTCATGAATAATTAAACGAATTTTTTGTCTTTATTTGACCTGGACGCGTTATAAAAGAAAAACAGGGTTCGAGGTTATAACAAATAATTTCTTTGCAACTTCTTAGCAAGAAAATCGGGACATTTAGAAGTAAAAAAAATATCCAGTTAATATTGCCAGGATTAAAGAAAACGATCATAATTGTTACCCACAAAAACAGTCAAAAAGTTTACACCAAGAAAACAAACGTTTTATCCAAATTTGTACCATCCATTAAAAATAGTAAGTTTAATTAGATAAAAATAAAATATTTTCAATTTTTTATTTGTTTCAGATACCAATTACAATAAAATGGAGTTGTTAAATGAATCTTAGCAGGAAGCCACCAAGAAAAATATACAAATTCGAAGAACAGTAAAAAAGAGTTGTGAGTTTCAACACAATTTGTAGTACAAATAATACTAAAAAATTGGGATATTTGAACATATTAATAATACAATTAATTTGTTAAATAACGGCACGATAACATTACTAATAAAGAAAATATTACCTCGACAACTAGGTTTCTGGAAAAGATTAATATGCAAATTGATCAAACTGTAACAACGTGTTATTTTTTTTAAACGTTATATATGTTTACAAAGAACTAATTAAATAGGTAGCAGAAAATCAATTTCAGCAAATAAAAAGTTCTATCTTTTTAGAAAATAAATTAAAATAATTAAAATAAATAATTGTTTTGAACTTTGGTTTTTAAAGACATTTTATTGCTATTTTCCCGAAAATGGAGTGTCATTAGCTGCGACAACTAAAAAAACTTGGCACACAAAGTATTTTCATAACCAAAGTCAAACATAGCCAAAGTGCTTCAAAACCATTAATAGAATAATGGTACTACCACAAAACAGCGAAATGCAAAAAACATACGCAAAAAACATCCTTTTTGGCCGTCTGTCGACCACACTTTTCACTTTTCAAAAGAATTCGAAAATGCCCCAAAGAAAATATGTAATTATGTCAGCCCTAAAATACCTCGTTTACTTCGTGAATTTCCCGTTATTTTAGATTAACTCACCGCGACTCTGTCTCAATAATCCATAATCCACACGTGGAGAAGACAGAGATTCCAAAGACACGCTTTTCAACTTCCAAAATAAGAAAAAAGACCCTCATATCCTTATGCGCTCGGCAATAAAAAATGTATTGAACCTAAAACGGCACTTTTGAGAAAATTGGAGTAACCCTCCACCCATCTCACCTCAGAAAGTTCTCTAATCTAAAAGTTCGAAGTAAAAAGCTATCGAAATTATAGTAAAAAAAACTTCATGAAGTAAGGGAATTCACCAGTTAAACCATATATTATAATTAAATAACTATAATAATGAACTATATAAAGCTATGGCGATCTAGTGGCAATCGTAAGTCTGAACGACAATGCTCTCCTCCATGATCGCTTTTCCTGCGTATGACACCCACCACCAGGCGTTCAAGTGTGTGTACTCCTTCCGTGAAATCCGAAACTACCAAAGCGAGCAAGAGTGCGTCTTACTTGCCCTTCTCAATCAGTTCTATGGACTCACCTTTACTCCACACAAAAAGCAGACACTCGTCACTGTTCCCTTCTTCAGAATTCTCACAATCAAAGACAAAGACACGATCTATTTTAAGGAACTTATTGAGAGACGGATTAACGAGAGACTCAACGCCGAAGTTGTTGAAGGTTCAAGTCTCAAAACGGCATTAAGAAGATGCGAAAATTATCGAATTGTTGACACAATTCATATCCTTGCAGACATGTTGGAGCTAAAGGGATTTGATTTTGATGTCCACTTGTCTACTGGAAAAAGAGGGACTTTAAAGGCTGAGTCGATCTTCGGTGTAAGAGACCAAACAGACTCTTTCTTGTTTGACCAAGAACAAATATCAAATTTAGGAGGGGAGATATCAAAATACCTACACTCCCTTGCCTCAACGGATGGCATCTGCACACTCGAAAAATGCGACACGACGATTAAAAGAATATTGAATCAGAAATGAAATAATTGTACTTTATGATTGATTTGGTTGTTTTCTTCTTGTTGTATTCGGCTTTTTTTGTGAAATTAATTTCGACTATTAAATTATTTTCTGTGCAAATTCCACCAAACATTTTTTGTTGAGGGTTGAAAAAGGAATTTGTGATGCAATTCGGTTTTACATGGAACAGCGTGGACCAACGTCATCTGTTTTTTGGTATTTTAATAAAACAATATTTTATAGTTTAGTTATTTAAGAATATAACAATTGTCCTACATTTTTGATGTGATATTTTTACTATATATATTAAATTGTTTTATTATATGATATTGTCAAAATGATTTAACAATATGTTTTTACAAGTAAAATTAAAAGTAAATTATAATGATTGTATTTTAAATAGTTAAGTTAATATTTAATTAAACTATAAAAAAAATTATTTATAATTTATTTTCACAATTGTAACAAATATTAATTCAATTTTTGTGATATACAGTTACGTAAACAAACTTTAGCCGGGTAATTGAACCTTAGCCCAAACAAAACTATATATATACCATAGTTTTATTAAACAAATTAACTATATAAAAATACAATTAATATGTTCTTTTAGTTAATGTTTTCAATATCTAAAAAAAGAACTACAATACTCAAATGCAAAATGTTGAACTAGAAACATTCTTTGATGCAATAAAGAAAACTGTTAAAGAAAACCAAATTGTTAAACCGTTCACTGTTCCCCCCAACAAAAACCAAAATAAAACAAGCAATCTCCAATAATCAAATGATGAAAAATGTCAAATTTCTATATGAAAAAAAATTAATAACAAAAGAAACAAAAGAAAAGGCCGTGAAGTTGGTGAATGATTTACTAGTGGATTCAAACTTGTATCAGTATAAATCAATGATTGAACAAATCAAATATATAAAAAGACAAAAGAAACAACCCAATGTTATAATTGGATCTCTCTTTGGAATCCAAAAAGGAGCAGTTTGAATCCATTTAAAACAAGAGATTACAGAACCGAAACATTTTACAAAAATATCAGAAGAAATGGACACCGCAATATCTGCACTTTTTAACTATTGCGAATCAAGACATCTAAGCGTTACTCCAACTTTGATTGATTCTGTCTGCCAGTCCGTTGATTGTATGTTTGAAATGACAAGAAAAGGAATCATATCACACATCAAAAAATACCATGGGTACAATACTAAAATTGCAAAACCCGAAGAAATAAAAAGGGTATTAACAAATTATAAAAATATTTTATTTAATTACATTGCTTTCTCTGATAAATTTAACGGTATATATTCTTCATTACTGTTTAACATTGATGAGATTGGATTCAATGAATGGTCCGACAAACATAATGAAACAGTCTTTACTAAAGGAGTTTCCAATGTTAAAGTCGGTATACCCAGAGCTTCGAAGAGAAGTACAATTATAGCTTGCATATCCGCAGATGGTTTGTTGTGTGTTCCAGCAGCAGTTGTACCAAACGTTTTTGTTGATCAGTTGGTTTATGCAAAATACCCATATTTGGATATTTATTCTTCAAAGACTGGATTTGTCAATCGACTCATTTTTAAGAATTGGATGTATAATACAATTTTGCCATATATTGTGAACCGAAGAGCATCTTTGGGATATCAATTTTATGAAATTGTTGTAATTTTAATGGACATTTTCACTGCCCATATTGATGACAACTTGCGTCAATTTTTTCTTGATAATTATATATTGTTTCATTTTTTCGAACCACATTCGAGCCATATTTGTCAACCTCTCGACCTTTGTTTATTTGGAGTCGTCAAAAAATGTAGTAGTAGTTCAACACCGATATTTAAAAACACGACAAATATAATAGTAACCACAAGATGTGAACAACCAACCAGTGCTTTTGTCTCTTCTAGCCAAATTCGAGAAGTCGAAGGAAGTGGTTTTGGAATTTTTGATTCATTGATTGATGAATGGGTCAAACAATTAGATGATCCACTTGCTAAAAAAGCAACAACACAACAAAGAGCAGAAAGGGTGAGTGTCATTACCGGACATCTCATGAAAATGATGAGAGTTATCGAAGAAAAAGCAACCAGAAAGAACGTTGAATCTTCTTTTGCGCGAGCTGGTTTCGTTGTTGTTACTGAAGGTTTAAACAATCGAGTATATGTAGACATAAGGTCTGCGATAATTTTCATGAACACAACAACAGTCAAGCCAACACCCGAAGAATTGGAGAAGTTAACGCCTCCAAAATCAACAACCACACTTGTTAGAGTACGGGAAGTGACCGAAGAAAGTCTAAAGATGTTAGAAGAAACATTAAATACAAATTTACATTAAAATTCAGTATTGGGCATTTCAAACAAACTTTGTGTTGTGCTTAAATGATACCTTCATGTTATAATTCGACTTTTTTGTGTTTTTTAGTTAATAGTTCAACAAATAAACTTGAGTTTTAAAAACAAATGTTTGGTTTTCCCGTTTTATTACTTGCGGCATATTTTGGGGCTAAGGTTTATTTTCTGAAATAAACGTTTTTTCGATTTTTTGAATTAAAAACCCATGTTTTTAAAGAAAATGACAAGTACTTACCCAGTAAAATTAAAAATAGATGGGCTAAAGTACATTTCTTGGGCTAAGGTTAATTTACCCAACTGTAGTTATTTAGCTTAATAATCTGTTAGAGAATAAATTTTAATACATTTGATAAAAAGTATTAAAATTTTTTTACAATTATAAAATGGTTTGTATGTTTTATATGTGTTTAAATTTAAAGAAAGACTCTATTACAACTCTGTTCTTATACATTCATTTTAACACCAAAAAGGATAAACGGAATGTTAAAAACGGTGAATTTTAAAGTCTTTTAGTAAAAACACTTATCACAGTCTTATTCCGACAATTTGAAATCGTGTAGATTCACAGTCTATCAAAATAAAATGAACAACTCTCTATCAAACCCTTCAAATTGAAATGTGTAAATTAAATAATTGAAAGACTCAAAGAATTTCCCAAAATAAAAGATTTGTAAATATTTGTAATATAATAAAAATAGAACTGTTTTAAAAATATAATCTTAACTTATTCGAACTTTTAATATCATTCAAATATTGTTGAAATGACACTTCGTCTTGTCAATTCCAACATTAGTCAGTCTTTTCAATTTGACAAAGACCCAATTTACGAAAACAGTACCGGTCAAATGAGTATTAACCGAGCTGTACGTCGAATGCCCAATGGTGATTTATGTCAATTCATGATCTACCGCATACAAACTGATCTTAACAATTCTTCCCTCAACACTGCTCTTCAAGCCCGAGCAGAGATTCTTAAAGTCAATCAAATGCACATTTACAACGAAAAGACAAAAATTTCAAAAATTCCGACACTGCGAGAAAAAGATCATCCCTATGTAATTAAGTGTTGTGGTGGCTTCTTCGCTTCACCCGTTTGTTTCTACTCCTTTAAAATCATTTGTTTCAATAGTATTAGATTTCTTATTAAAACAACTATTAACAAAGAGTACAACAACTTGGAGTTTTGGATCGTTTGCGAATATTCCACGAACACCACACTGCTCAGTTACATGAACAAAAACGAGCCGTTTTTCTCGGACGAAGTGCTGACAATCAGTTACGCTTTAGTCAAGATATTGAATTATTGTTACATCGAGTTTAGAGCACCGTATATCCACTTAATCCCTCAAAACATCTTTTTGGGCCGGAACCCAACATCCCCATTTCCTCAAGCAAAAATATCGCCTTACGCATTTATGCCCCATCGAGGACACGACGAGGCGGACGCGCAACCATTCATCTCAAATGATTTTCGAGCCGGTGTTCGTGCTGAAATAGTATCGGTGTGGTCGTTTGGTGTTATACTGTATCGGATGATCACTGGTGTAGTTCCGCGAGTCGACGAAAACTGTGTTATTTTAGAATCTGAATTAAAAGCAGTTGACCATCTCGAAGCAGCAAATTTGATCCGGCAATGTGTGAATGCCCCATTCCATCGTCCTTCACTTGAAGCACTACGCCGGCACCCATTTATTCAAGAGTGTCATCTCCACACAAAACTCCCAAAGATCGAACCCAATTTTGAGGTCTTGACTGTCATAGGGAAGGGGCAGTTTGGGAGTGTAGTGCACGCTGTTGACAAGAGAATTGGCATTAATGTAGCTATTAAAGAGAGTTTTGGAACACAATTGGCGTATTTACAAAAGGATGCAAGAACGATGAGAGCGTGTCATTGCCCACAATTGGTGGAATATTACGGGTACTTCCAATTGTCATACTCACTGAGCGCATCGTTCAACTCAACGTTTGGGGGGGTTTCCGACACACATGGGTATTTGGTTATGGAGTTGTGTTCGGGTGGGAACTTAGAGGAATATCTCATGCGATACCCTGGGAGTCTCCCAAGCAATTACATTCGATCATTTTTGAGAGATATTTCTCTGGGTTTGAGGTACCTCCACTTTGTCAAAGGACTTGTCCACAGAGACTTAAAACCAGAAAACATTTTGTTGTGTCCGTTTCAGCCGAACGAAATTCCACAAGTCAAAATCACTGATTACGGATTTAGTCGAGCTATTCTGGACGATAAACTCGCAAGCGAAAAGGGAAGTCTGTTGTTTGAAGCGCCTGAAATCATGAGACACGAAGTTTACTCGAGTAAAAGTGACTTGTATAGTCTTGGTATCATTTTGTATCATTTATGTACAAAGGCATGGCCCTTTGGCTGTCAAAAAGATTCTTTCTTCGAAGGAATGACTCTACGAAAAAGTGTGCAGTTTCCACCGTCCGTGTTCATTGAAGAATATCTCAAAGACTTGATGTGTAAATTAATAACTCATGAAGAGTCACAACGGATCGGGTGGAAGGAGTACTTTGTCCATCCTTACGTCCAAATATGTCTCTACGACAAGGAAGACACCAAAATGAGTTACAACAAGCACGAGATGTATTGTTTTAATTGATTGTATACATTTTATAATTTTTTTATATATAATAATAATAATATAATAAATAAAATAATATATATATATAATAAATTTATACCATTTAAATATACTATTTGTTAATAATTATTTTAATATACATTAGAGCTTCGTTCTTCTTTAGTAAAAATACTAATAAATGCCATATACAACCAACTGCAAATATTCGAATCAATAGATGTATCAAGCCTTTGGGTCTTTAACTGTTGGTTTTTCATATCTGAACAAACTGCACTGCCCTAGGAAGTTAACAGGGACATGAGTGACTACAATGTTCTGTGCGATCAAATGGTCTAAAATGACTCTGTTTTCAGTGTCTTCGCTTTGATACTTCAAGTCCCACTTCTTTACGTCGTGGTCAGTAACGCCGTGTCGTTGTAAAAGTTCCTTCTTCATCGCACTTTCTCCTCCATAATCTTTAGCAAACATTTTCATATTACCCATCAAATAGAATTGCTTCTTCGCTCCAAGAGCAGCAGCTTGTCGATTCAAGTAAGTGTTCACCGCAATTTCTTTTTGCTGTGCAAAGTCCTCAACAGAGTACAACCAGATCCCTGGGGATGTAGTTGTCCCAAATGAAAGTAAACACCCAAGGTTCTTGTCAGCTTCTTTCATCACGTACTTCGCCTTTTCATTACTAAAAGTGACAACCTTGTCAATGGACGAGTCTTTAGGCCACGGGGCTCTCAAGCATCCCATCAACACATCATGCAGAGTGTATGAGAACCCTCCGATCTTATACGCAAACTTCTTGAAATTGCTCATCATATCTTTGAACTCGACGTTTGGTCGATGTTTCCAATACATCAACCCGTGGAGTAACATGATGTGGTAGACGTTCAACCAAAACGGTTCGTTCTCCCCAGTCTTGAGCTTTTCTAAGTCGACAACAGCAAGCTCGGAGGCTTGTTGTTCAAACAATTTAACACCAGCCAAGTTGTCTAATGTGATCAACTCAATGTGGTAGTCGAAGCAACGCCCGTAGAACCCGGATCTCAAGTACAACTGAATGACCGAGTACAAGACACTTCTTGCAACTTCAAGTGGGTCTCGTGTTGTTTCCTTGACAACTTCCATCTCTGGGTTGATATTGAAAAATTCTCTTTGTGAAGGGTATTGAATGAGGTGATCAACAATTCTGTTGAAGTTCTTGAAATTGAGCGACGTGTGATAAATTGGGTACCACACAGGGGCTTTGACTCTTTTAGGATTCTCACTACTTTCAGTCTCAGCAAGAAGTGCCTTAGGTGCGTCTACGTCTGGGTCTGTTGCAATAGATTTTGGAATTGGAGGGACTTTCTCTGGATCGACAATATCGTCGGGGATGTCGGAACGAACTCCAACTTGGCAGAATGGGATCTCTTGTTCCAAAGATGGTGCAGTGGAGACGTCCTCGAAGTTCAAAATCACTTTGAAGTTGGGTGCAAGTTGTTTAGCGTCTTTGAACCCCTTGTCCAACTCCATCTTTGAGAACTCAAGATGGTTGTCGTGGATGAACCAAGTGTTAAACCAAATGTTGAATATGCCACCTTTCGACGTTGAAAACTCAAGTTTAATATCGCCGTGTAACGTGACTGGATCAATTGGGAACGCACTTCCATCAGTCCCAAATCTCTCATCGCCTTCTATCGACCGCATCTTCCAGTCCCAAGCACACATCGCCTCGCGTGTCGTCACATTTGGATTCTCCTCTTTGAGCTCCGCAAGCACCTCATCATACAACTTCATGTACTCCTCTTCCTTCATTTTGATTTTTGACTCTTTGAGTGGCTTAAACGTCAATTTTCTGGAGTTGGTGAGCGACTTCTCACAGACAAATTCAGTGAAGGTAGACACCTTCACAAAGATTTCATCAGAGATCTTTGGAGTTGGAATCATCTCGATTTTAGTCATCTTGACCGTTCTATCTCCAACAGTGAATTTGTGTTTAAGTGAAGCGCTCCAGTAGTTTATGTACTTCAGTTGCGATGGGATAGTAACACCCTTCTTATTGAAAGTTCGAGCAGTACCGTAGAAATCGATGGCCTCGTGTGCATTTAAAGCGTCAAGCATATACACCAAGAACGCGGCAGACATAAGTCCTGTTCTACCCTTACCAGCTTTGCAGTGAAGTGCAATGACATTGAGTGGGTCGGCCGACAAATACTCGTCGACGTCCTTACAGAGTTGTGGAATGATTCTGAACTCAGGCGCGTTGTGATCGTCAAAAGGGAAGTACTCATACTCGCCTTTGATTTTCGACTCTCCATCGTACGGCTTTTCTCTACAAAAGTTGTAGACCTTATAATGTCCCTTGTGGAATGTTTCGAAGAACTGGAGGACATCAACCAATGGGTTTCTATAGGCAGCCTCAAACTTCTCAGAAGGGAAGCCCATAGCAATAATCCGTGGTGTGATATAACTCAAATCAAGGTCAAACCCAAATTGTTGGTATCGGCGTTTTTCCTTGGACACTGCTTCTCGAATGACGTTCGCCATTATTCTTTGTTGTTTTTAAGTTCAAAGATAGACCTATATTTTTTTGCTAAATCTTAATATTCCTCTTCATCTCTGGTTTGCCAATTTTTCTGCTTGAAATATGAGTTCTGTTGTGTGTTTTCTTCTCTTGTTTCCCGGTTTTCGCAAGTTAATACATGGGTTGTCCTTATTCGACTTCCTGCTTTTTTCAAGAAGAAAAACATTTTTTCTAATTCTAATTCTATATGCGTTGTGTTACATAGCGGCGTATTGGTAAAAGTCACTTTTCTTATGTATTGAAATACATCAATAACTTCTCAAATAAGACTGATCTAACACAACTTATCGAATAATTCAATTTGAAAATGTAACCAAACGCAATGAATGCCGACAATGAAAGAAGTTTTTGGGGAAGGATATGCGTTTTTAGAAATTCGCTTTTTTGCACCAAAAAAAAGGTAAAAACTTGGGGTGCTAAAGATAGCAACTAACTTCTATTTTTCAATAAACACCGAGTTGTATAAAACATTTTGATATTTTCCCACTTCTTTCCTTTAATTATACTTGAAATAATAATAATAACGACTAATGCTGATTTATATTGTTTCAAAAAGTTGAAAAAATAAAACACTTAAAGTTCAATTTTTGACGTTTTCTCGGTTAAAAAGTTCGTTAATGTTTCTTCAGTCCTCTGGCCTTGGAATGGTATTGGTTCTTTTCCTGGGGTGAATAGCAATAAAGTTGGGTATGAAGAAACAGAAAACTTGGAGCAAATGTGCGGGCAAGCATCGCAGTTAACTTCGGCAAACTGCACTTTTGACGTTCGCGACACATTCTCAAAAACCGGTTTCAATTTTCTGCAGTGCCCACACCACGGCGCATAAAACTTGATGAAGAGTGGTTCCTTTAAAGTGGAGAAAACATTACTGTCGTCATTTTTACACATATCAATAACATTAATTGGCTTGATGTCTTCCATTTCAATATTCACTTTAGCAAGAGTCTGTTTCAAAGAGTCTGTGCTGAGTTTGGACACGATATATTCTTCTGTCGCTGTTTTGACTGTTAATAGTGGCAACGTGTGTATAGAATTTGTTTCACAATAGTCTTCATATTCTTCGCAGTCTAGACTGCCAACTTCTATAGTTAGTCGCCTTGATATCTCTTCATATGTTGATAAAAAGTTTTTGTAGTTGTCACCATAAGCGACGTAGTAAAGAACAACACGAATCTTTGGGTCTTTAAATGTTTTGGGTGTGAATTCGTGAACGACTGCAGTACAAAGTGAAAACAAAAGGAAAAATACCATCCTATTTTGAAGTTTTTGGTCTTTAATAAAGTTCGTTTTAAATGGAAGTTTCAAAAATTATTTATAATATCAACTATATTATGTAATATTTTATATCATTTAGAACTTAATAAAAAAAGTTGTTGTTTTATTAGTTTATTTAATTGTTTTATTAATAAAGATTATTATAACATAATTAATTATTATAATAATATAAATTAAAAAGAAATGGTATTTGAACACAATTTGTATTATGGTCTGGTCATTTTTTTTTTTTTTAAAATAAGTTCTGGAAAAAGACCAGAAGTCTTTGTAATGATATTTTAATGGGCTGTCCTCTAATAAACGGGAATACAACCTAACAAGAGGAAGTGTTCCCGAAAGTCGGAGATATTCAAAAACGATTACTAGAAATAATATTTATATTTAAAACAATGATAAATGGTAAAATAACCACAAGTAATAGAAAGTGAGACAATTGAGGTGAACTGGACAGAGTCTTGTCCTCTTAAACAAAACACAAAACTGTGAAAGACAAAATAACATGGCAGAACCAATCCAACTCACTGACGGCGCTCAACTCAAAGAAAAGATTGCAAGCGGTGTTGCTGTCGTTCAATTTCATGCAACATGGTGCAAGGACTGCATCTATGTCAAGCCACTTTACAGAAAATTGGTCAAAGAATCCAAGAACTCAGTCTGCATCGATGTCGATGTCGACAAAGCGCCACAACTGAAAGCAGAGTACAAAGTTGCACATGTCCCAACATTCATCCTTTACCATAATGGTGTTGAGCAGCAGAGAATTGTCGAGCCAAAGTACGAGCAATTAGAGGACTTCATGTCAGTTGCTGCTAAACTTTAACTCATTTATACCACTCATTGTTAGTTATTTAACTATAATTATTCTATACAAATTATATACAAAATTATAATACAAATTATTATAATAAATAGTTCAAACATTGTAAATGAATTTATAGTATTATAATAATATAAATACTATTATTTATAATATCTTAAATATTCGAGCTCTGAGTCTAAGAAATCAGAACGCAAGTTCTAACTATCAATTATTTTCAGTTCTGTTTTAAACCAAGAATGTATTATATGAAATAATAACAGTGACATGATATTCAAATTAATGGGAAATAATACTGATTTGATAAGTTTGTAAAAAACAGTGCAAAAGGAAAATTAATGATCTTGAAATTTCAAATGAACGCTCTTCTTGTCCTCCTTATTGCCTTCGCTAGTGCGAGTTCTGAAGGATTGGTCTCCTTGACCGCTGAAACCTTCCCAACTTACAAAGCCAGTGGAAAGACCATGTTTGTTATTCAATTCTTAAAGTGTTTATCGCTCCTATATATATTTATAATACTTTTATAAATAGGATTATATAATAGTATTATTAATTATAAAATGTATTGGTATTAACATTGAAGCTTGGTGAAATTCTTTGCTCCATGGTGCGGACACTGCAAAAGACTCGCCCCAACTTATGTTGAGCTTGCTACTGCTATGAAAGAAAACGAAAACGTTGTCATCGCTGAAGTTAATTGCGACGACAACAGAGAGATCTGCACTGCCAACGGCGTCAGAGGATTCCCAACAGTCCAATTGTTCAACGGTGAAGCCGAACCAGTCAAGTACCAAGGACCAAGAACTTTGGAAGACCTCAAAAAGTTTGTCTTGGACAACGTCCCAGCCAAGCAGTGAATGAAATTATTAAACAATCGTTCTCTATATTTAACCATTCTTTTTAATACACTTTATTATTGTTTTACTATTTTATAAACCCTTTAGGTGAAAAGTTGTAATTAATTATGGAATTAATTCTATAATAAAAATAATACACTATTAATACATGACACGTCATTTCAGTTAGAAAAAAATAATAAGTTATAGTAAAAATATTATAAACCAAATTATTAAATTGGATAGAAACAAGAATCAATAAAAGAATCAAAAGACACATTCTGCAAGGGAATAAGACAACCTTGTTGTTACTAAAAAAACTGGGTGTCACAATAAAGAAACGATGAGAGAGTTAAGTTGCGATATATTGAAGTCGTTGATGTCGAAAGACATTTCATTGTTTTCGTTGTCCATTTTGATTCCTAATTCCATTAGTTTGTGTGCTAATAACTTCATCTTATCTGGTCCAGCACTTTGAACGAGTTTTCCAAATTGAGACTTTAAGTGGTTGAGTTGAGTTTCGTTGGGGAAACTCAGTGGCTCAAGTAAAACGTCAATTGGAAACATTTGCTTGCGATCAGCAGAATTTATACTTTGCATGACCTTTTCAAACATTTGAGACTCGAGTTGTTGGTTGTCGTAAATGTTTGTTTGCATTGCCTTTGTGTTGCGTATCATCATTTGAATTTCTCCGACTTTTTGAATGACTTCATCGGCGATTTCTGTGGCGACCTCACCCTTCATTAAACGTTTTGCGTCTTCGTGGGGGTTCATCTGAATGCGCTGGAATAACCTGAATTTGTCCTCGCGCGAGAAATTTGGGTTTCGATAGAACCTCCCAACTAATGTTACAAAAGCGATGACTAACTCATCCATGGATTTTGTGTTGAAAACCAATTCGTAGTTGCCTTCAAGCACTTTTTGCATCTCGGGCATTGAAAGAAAATACATTTTTACTGATGTCAAAAAATCGGCGCGGGCTTCGGGGTCGCGCATTACACTGTCTTTGCTGGAATTTGATGAGTTACTGTCTTTGCTCTGTGTCTCGGAAGTGATTGAAAAAGACGTTGGTGACATCAAAGGAATGTTCATCATCTGTATATTTTTTATTTCTTTATATTTTTTCGATGAATATTTGAAAGTTTGGTGACTTTCACCAACCAAAATCACCAAACGATTAATGAAATAAACTTATAGAATCGGGTGTTCTTATTCTTTTTTTATTAAAAGTTGAATTGAATTTATTATTTCGAATAAAAAATAAATGGATAATCCCGAAAAGATGGGTAAACAAGAGGAATTTTTGAACAACTCCAAAATTATATTTGTTATAAATCTAATTAAAACAAATAGTAAAAATAATATCGTTATTTAATTTGTTGGAAATTTGGTTCTTGTTGTTTATTAGAAAAATATTATTATAATTAAATTGAACTTTATAAAAATTACAAATTTCAATTTTAATTGACAACTAGTGTAGTCGAAACCGATTCCGGAATCAAAAAATATTCGGGAATATTTTTAACCTCGGTTCGGGAACATCCTGATTCCCAAACTTAAAATTGGTGTGTTCCCGAACACACAAGTTCCCGAACTTCATAAAAAAAATATTCCCAAACTTTTGATTCCGGAACATGACGGTTCCCGAACCGATTCCGGAATCACCAGTATTATATTAAAATTTTATTTATAAGCAAACTAAAAAAATAACAACTTTATTTTAATATTAAAATTGATAGATTTGTATAATAATATCTTTGTAAGTGTTTTATCCATTTGTATCACTATTCAACAAGAAATCAATTTTTATATTATATTGGATATAAGTACAGTAAAAAGTGTTTATTTGTGGGTTTGCCATGGATTCGGTAGTATATTCTATTCACTTTTTAATTCAAAAAATTAATGAAAGATTTTATTTTTAAGAAATAAATATATTTATATTAATAATATTTAAATTATTATAAAAAATATAATATAAAGTTTTACAAGTATAGTCGGGTGATAAAGGGGGTTAATTTGGGACAGAAGTAGTTAATTTGAGTAAAAAACTATAAAATATAATTTATTTAACCATAAAAGTATTAGAAGGGTTTTTTCAATTAACTACTTTGAAAATAATAAAAGAAAACCATAACTTTCTATTTTTGATATTATTCAATCTTTGAAAACAATGGAAGAAGAAGAGAAAGGAACCCTTGATGAAATAACCACAGGCAATCAACATAAAAAAGCAATTTAAATACAAGAAACCAGTTTAAAAACTGTATTTCAATATATTCACGATGTATATGGTTAAAATGCCAGAGTTTAATGAATTAACAACAGTGTCAATTTTTGAAAGTGTCAGGGAATCACTGAAAAATCATCATTTGTTATTTCAATCTTTCGTTGTTGAACCATTTCCATTGAGAAAAGATAAGAGAAAGACCATTTTAACATAAAAACAATTGGAGTTGAAAAAGAGCAGAAAAGAAATGAAACAAAGGAAAAAACAAAGGAAAAATTCTTTAACAAAACAAGTTTCAGACAAACCATAAAAAGTGCTGCGTTTTAGACTTCCACATTTTTTAAGTAAACAAATTGAGGTGTTTTTGTTTATTTTTGAAATAGAAATTTATAATTATTCAATTTATAATCATTTAAAATAAAAAACGATAATTTATATTATTATTTTAATTTTATGTTTATTTTGACCTTTAAATAGATTTTTTAAAAATTATAGTTTCAAAATTATATTTATCAAAATTAACTACCTTTGTCCCTTTTTAATGCCATTTATCCCCCGACTATAATGAATTAAAATAAATATAATTATTTTTAATAAAACAATTATACTTGAGTTTCAATGAGATCTTTTATATTGTAAAACGGCAGTAAAAACAAATAAAAATACTATAATATTCCGATAAAAAAGACTGATTATGTTATCGAAATTGTTTTTATCGACATAAAATGAAAGTAATTTAACAATAATTTCCGATTAAACAACACTAAAACAGCAGTGTATAACTGAAAGGCCAAAAACTTCTCAAAATAAATTTAACTTTTGATTTAATATATCATTAATGATTGTTTAGTAAGCAAATTACTTAGATATAAACAAAACGTTGATTAATACAATTGATCACATTAAGTTTGAATTGTCTAAACAATTTGACACGTTCTGAATAAATGAATGTTTGTAATTATTATAATACACGCGGTTTTCTTCATTGACAAACAAAGAATAATCATCCAATTTTTCTTCTAATAAAGTAATTGGATCAATAACACCGAGAATATTGCTTTCATTTTGGAATTGAATTGGCATTGCATTTTCTACATAAATATCAGCAATTTGAGAGGGGTTTATAACTCTTTCACTCTCGGGCATTTCTACAGTTTGGTATAATTCAATTAAAGATTCATAGGGGGAATCTTGAATAAAAAGAAGTTCATTGAGTTTTTCATGTAATCCGGTGTGTTTGAAACAATTGACTATACAATTAACTGAAACACAACACCAACTCGATTTGATAAATCTTAATGCATCAACAATTTGTATTTTTTCAATACCAACAATCAATTTTGATGTATTAAAAATAACAGAGGGAAAAACAGACTTGATGAACTGTATTGATTCGGTTGCAAGTTTCGCTATATATTCCTGTTGGCCTATTTCGTTGCATTTTAACAAAAACGCATTCTTCTTGTTTTCAGTGCATTCCAAAAGTGCTCTGTTAATTTCAACTTTTTTCTTTCGATAAGCGCGTTTTTTTGAATGGATTGCATATGAATATAATAACTTATATAATGTTTACGGTAATGTCTTTTAAAGCTTGATATTATGCCTTGATCAAGAGGTTGTAATTTGGCTGTAGTATTTGGTGGGTAAAATTCGATATGGATGTTTGATGGTGTAAATAAAAGTTTATGTGTTGGTGCGTTGTCGACAAGTAATAAAATGTGTCGATTGGTTTCTTTTAATTCTTCATTCCATTCGGTGATGTACTCTTCCCATATGGCAACTGACATCCAACTACTTGGTTGAGTTTTGTACGACAATTCCATGACATCAAGTAAAGACTTGGAACAACCGCGTGGCATTTTTGCAGAGTGTATAACAAGAGGGTGTCTTTTTGAGTCCCCGAAGAATTGCAACAAAACAAGACTGTTATCCGTTCTTTGCTATCTTGAAGAGTTTTAAGACATGTTTTATTTGTCAATGAACGGGATGGCAATTTTCTATAAAATAAACCAGTCTCATCCGCGTTAAACACGTCGTCATTTGGGTACTGTTCTATCATTCTTTGCAATTCATTTATACAATCAACACAGCCACTCAAGTCAACAAGATCCTCATGACCAACAGAAATTTTGTACTGTAATTTTTCCTTTTTCTTGAACCGTCTGACGAAGCCTTTAACATCTTTTAATTTATCAGACTGTTTATGTTCCTCGAGAATTGCTGCAACTTTTGCTTGTAATACATAGTCATCAATAAAACTACCTGAACACAAAGAATCACTGACATAATTTTGTAGTTCTGGGTACACTATTTTTACAATTTCAGAGTTAAGTACATGTTTTATTTCTTTGACTTCTCTTGTGTTATAAGCTTGGAGTTGTTTGATATTAAACTGATACTCTGGGAATTCCACTTTAAGAATATTTTGAATTTTTTCCCAGAAGTCTTTCTTTTTGTTAATTGTCTGTTCTGTATACAACTCTTTTATTCTGTAATGAGCCTCCTTTGAAATGTTTTTGTACCGTGTACTTCTTGGTGGACGAGACATGTGTAAAAGATCTAATCTCAAAAATATTTACATTTTTTTAATTAAAAGATAAAGAAAAACTACTATATTTTACATGAACATACTAAATAATTACTTGTTACAAATTAAATTTTAAAAAATGTATTTATAATTTAGTTTATTTATTTATTAAGTATTTATATATCTAACTCTGTAAACATTATTTTTTGTTAAATATTTTAATATTTTTTATATGTTGTTCAAATGTATTTTTTATTAAAAGAACTTAAAAATAATTAATTAATGAAACTAATATTTGCTTTAAATTTTAGTTCAAATGATTTTTTAAAAATAATTTTTTTTATAAAAAAAAGTGTACTTAAATTCAAGGTTCTAGAGCAAAATAATTATTTGTGGATTTTGCATTTGATTGGTCCATTGACCCACAAATAGACGTAACCCACAAATATAAAAACCCACAAAAAGACACCTTTTACTGTATGTAAGTTTTAATTCTGTGTTAAAATTGTTCATTGCAATAATAATTATTTTTTGTTTTAATTTATAATCAGTGTTATTACATGTATTTACATTACAAAAAAAACATGTTGTATTATTGTTGTTTATTTTAATGAGAATTTAGTAATTTACAAAGTAACATTTTAATCAAATGCTGTAATACCATTTTAAAAAGTTTTTTTAAATAAAGTTTTTTACAATTCTTAATTATAATTTTCAATGTAGTTGAAATACATTATTTTATTTTTATTGTAGATAACTTTAAAAATCCAACTTTACTTGATAAAAATCATCATAAAATAATCATCATTTGTATATATTTACAGATGGACAAAAAACATAATCATTTTTCAATTACTTCGACTTGATTTTCTTGATTTCAATTATATTAATATAATTAAATGTACTGTACTGTTAACTATGAATGCTGAATATACCCATTTGATACTTTTTTGTTCGAAGGGGTAATAAGTATTAAACTTCCTTTGTTTTAATATTAATAACTATTAGAACAGTATAAAGTTGTATTAATATAGAAGTGTTTTTTATCCAAACCGTATCAACAAAAGTTTTCAATAACAATGTTGATATTGGTGTAATTAAACAATTAAATAATGTCCGTTTTGTAATTATTATAATTAAAACAAATTGTTATAAAATTTCACAAATTATATTCAATGATCAAGAATTTGTTTATAATAAACTTCTTCTATTTAACAGAAAAACAAATAGAGAATTATA